AAAGTATAGAGTAAGGGACTCAACACGCAACCCTGTGGTGTACCAGTTAAGAATAAGGGCTGAAGAGGTATGATTACCTAATCTGACCCTCTCAGCAGTCAGACAAGAAATCCATAATCCAAAGGCAGATTGAATAAGAAAGTCCAAGGTCCAGAAGTTTAGACACTATTCTATGTGGAAGAATTGTGTTAAATGGAGAAATATAAAATCTACAAAAAGCATCCTCACATAGCCTCCCCCCCACTGTAAGATTTTCTCTTCTGTTTACAGTTACTTGCTATTTCATTTATTTTAGTCGCTTATCAGGTGGGTTTTGGTAAAACATCATAGAATAAGAACCCTTGGGGTGAAAGTGTTAAGGTGATAAAGAAAGCAATCCATCCAGGTCATATCTTTGGTGATAAGAATATTAAGATCACTAAAATCAGCAAAAAAATTATTTATTATCCTGTTACCTAGAGAATTAGAAAAAAAACATATTAATACTATTCATAATTCAGTTTCACCTATTATTCTAACCATAATCATCATTCCATGTGTAAGAATAAAATCTGGGTTCTAATCTAGCTGGATTTCCATAGAACACAGAAGACTAGATGCTTGGAGTAGAGATAAGTTTATTCTGACAGCTTAACATGGAGTACAGCAATTGAAAGTTAGATCATAAGGTTAGAAAGCTGAAGATGATAGTACTTTTAGCAACAAGTTTTTCAATTGTGAGGTAATGGACTTTGAGGTGAAGTATTTTAGATGTGCATGTCACCCTGGGGACATGTGAAGTACAGGAGAGGAAGGTCCATTTCTTATCCTGTGGGATGTGATCTTAGATGGATAATTCTCTTTGGTGTGAAATTTTATTAGGAATCTGGCAATGAGAGGTTTCCCTTACCTTGACAGGGTTCGGTTCTACATTTGTTGGTGTTGGCTGATTTCCTGGAGAGACACTTAATCTATTCCAGCCTTCAGTGTCAATGTGGGTAGAAAACGTTTAAGTGATTTATCTGTATCTTTATTTGAGGTTGCCAGTGGACCAGAGGTGGTTGAAGTTGATGTGTGACATCACTAAGGAAGGTGTCATCCAGGTTTTTATTCTTCCAATACATCATCTATAATTTATTCCCATAGGGAATAAATTAAAAGATTAAAAAAAACCCTTCCTTATAGGCCAACATTCTGCCTATCCCATTATACCCTTTTCTTTCCAATATTGGGAAATCGGGTGATATCAGAAAAATGTTGACATCTATAAACTAAAATGGGGAAATCTGAGGACTTATTTCAAATTAAGTCCTAGGAATCTGCAAAAGTAACTCCTGAGATGAAAATCAGAGCAGTGCATTTGACATTTAATGATTCTTCCTCAGCTACATATTGAAATGTAATTTTATGATTTTTGTTGAATTGTGCTTTAGACCACTCTTAGCATTTGTCTTTGTAATGTTTGTAAAACATTAGAAAAAGAAACAGTTAACATGTCCTGATTTAGTTTAAGACAATCTGATATTCACTATTAGTTTATAAAGATAGTCCCTTGAATGTCACAACTGACTTCCTATAGCAAGGGTCCACAACCCATAGTCCATGGCCTGGCACTGGGCTACAGCATGCCAGAAACCGGGCCGTGCAAGCAAGCAAAGCCCCATCTGCAGGATACAGGCAGCATCCGAAACCACATCCCCTCTGGTCTGCGGAAAAGCCTGCCCAAAAGGTTGGAGGCTGCTGTCCTATAGCATTTCAACAGCCTTCATCTTTATACAATTCACAAGAACTTTAGATTTTTTAAAAATTTCCATCGGAAAGTTTGTACTTTATTACAGACTTCTATTTCAGATTTATAAAGTCAGCCATTTATTACACCACTGAAATTGAAAGCAAGCAGAATGTGCACATTTCTGAATGTAAAGACTGAAATGTATTAAAAATTAATCATATATTGGTATTTTTTACGTCATCATTTATATGAAATGGCATAAAGAATATTTTCCATTGTAATTTTCACATAAGATTATACAGAAGTCAAAGCACACAGAGCATTAAATAGTCTGAGCAGTTCTGAATATGCGTGTGTGTATATGTATGTGTGTATTTATGTATCTATTACTAAGCCACATTCTTGAATTTTATCTGCACTATTTGCATATATAAACTTAGTTGCACCATCCATAATTTTAGGAAAGAACAGTGTGCAAAAACTTGTTCTAAAGAATTATCCCTCTCAGTTATCATAATTGCACAAACTAAATGAGAAATGAATAAATGAAAAGTATAATTTAAAAAACTGAGAGGTCAACTCTTCATGAAAATATCACAATTTAGCCAAACCACTAAAAATAAATACCGTTTTAACCCCTTAATATTCACAAGGCATTTTTTCACCAAGCAAAAGCAGGATCAATCACTTTGAAACCACGCCACATAAATAAAAAGTGCTAAGCAGTGAAAATGAATAAACTTTTTCTGTATATGTGACTTCTTCTAACAAGTTCACATACACAAATATTGCTTTTAGGTTAGTACCCTGTGCCTATCAGTTTATGCAGATAAACAATTCTGTGTAGTACAAGCAATGAATGGAAATGCACATCTACATCCTTCCTCTGTAAAGATACAATTGGTTTATATTGTAGCTTACTTCATAAGCACTGGGTTTCCACATTTACATACATTCCAATAGATCTATTGTATATTCTTTAGTTTTATTCAAGGTTCACATATACCTACCGTGTTTCTCATATAATAAGGCCGGGTCTTTTTTTCTTTTTGAGCCCCGAAAAAATGGCTAGGTCATCTTTTCGGGGGTGACTTAATTCCCCCCCCCCTTGCATCTTCGGGTGGGCGGGCGGCGACAGCTTGGATGTTGACCTCGGCGTTGGTGGGGCACTTCGTATCGGGGTCAACGCAGGCAGCACCATATCTGGGTGTGCAACAAAAGTACTTCCTAATGGCAAGCCCCCCCCACCATCCCCCCCCATTTCGCATGTTTTAATACAGGCCTTAATTTGGGGGGAGGGGCTTAATTTCATTTCATGCCTATAAAACATGCTGGGACTTCCTATTGGGGGAGGCCGTATTGTTGGAGAAACAGGGTAGCAGCCCTTCTGCCTATGCCTGTGAGCTCTCTAGCAAATGTAAAAATGCAAAAAACTCACCAACAAATTGAATATAATCTGTTTATACCTTTTAGAGACACAAAAACTTTCCATGTATACACAGTCCCCTATAGTGCACTGGAGTGGTACTAGCACAACTTCAGTATATTGGTAGTGAAATGGAATGGATATTTTGGGTATTTGGAAACAGAAAAATGCTCAATTTTTAGTTTTGTTGCCAATAGGTTTCTACATAACAATAATGTTCTGTCATTCGTTTGGTTATTAATATCTATGAGAATGCTAGTTTATACTTTGTCATGGGCTACAGGTAATCCCCCAGATACAAGGGTTCCTTCAGAGAATTTTCACCAGAATGAATATATTCAGAAAGGGGACTTAAGTTAGCAATTTAAAACTGGGATCAAAAACAGGCCTCTGTAACCATATGACTTGGATTCAGTTACTGCTGCAGCGGCCGTCATTTTAACTGTGTCTTGCCTAGGCCATTTGAGATTACAATGCAATTTCTGGAAGCACGGCCAAACAAAATCCGGTGATCTTTGCAGCCAGCCCGGCTCCGAGTTGTTTTTTGTTTTAGTGCTGCATGTAGAATCTGCTGTTGCCTGGGCTTGAGAACTACAGGTACAGTGCTAGAATTGCTCGTAATTATTTTAAAATATTCTTTTTTGTTACTCTATAGTGTAGTACTGCTTGAAAGCACTTTGGGAACTGCTCTACTTCTTTTTAAGTACTGTACTGTAATTTGCTACAGTATTGTGTTTGTAAGTACATTTCTTTGCAAGGTAAAGTTTATTAGCATTTGCTTTGAAATTGCTTGTAGAAATGCTAGCCAGCATCTACACAAAGCATTCTATAATGTTGCGTGCTGTATCTCTTCTCTAAACTGCTGATTTTCAAATTTGCAAGTTATTTATGTGAGTTTTTGGATTCTGCCTGGAGAGGCTTGTGCTGATCAGGGCAAAAAAAAAGAGGTTTTAAATGTAAATTGCCTCCAGAAGTTGTGGATGCCCCACCCCTGGAGGCTTTTAAGAAGAGACTGGATAAGGCATTTATCAGAAAAACTCTTGTGAGAGCAATAGTTTGGACTAGATGACTTCAAGGTCCCTTCCATCTCTGTTACTATTGCAAGCCAAGAGTTATGTAAATATCTTCCCCATCTGTTGCTGGGTGGCTGGTTGGCGACTGTTAAACTAAGTGGCAAGTGGTTTTTTTAAAAGCAACTGTCCCCCCCTCTTCTGGACAGCTGTCTGAACACGCTTGAGCTGATCAGCAGCAAATGGTTTTTTTTAAACTTGAAACAGAGCTGCTTGGAGGAGGCAATTTAGTTCCTCCTTTGGCTGTACCGGAAACAGCTGATTGGCAGAGGCAAAAACAGCTGATTGGTGGTAGGCTGGAAGTAAGTCAGATCTTCATTCATTATTGAGCCATTTGATGAATTTTTTGATGTATGAACCTAATGGGCCAGCTCCATTAGGTTCGTACATCAAGGACTACCTGTACTTATATCTGAAAAGGAAGTAACAATAACTACTAATAGGTATAAATACATGCCATATTATTTAATTCACTATCTGTCTGGAATTAAATTCAAGCTATTCCTACATTTGAGATATGACAATTTCTCATGTTAGTTTTCAAGCCATAAAAATGCTTATTCGTTATTTTCCTCTTTGAATGCCATATGCTAAACAAATAAATCCTCATTGAAAAATAAACCAGATATTAATATATTTGCAAAGTATTAATGAGCAAAAGCTATAATTCAGAAAAGGTCAGGATATCCTACATGAAGTAAGATGTCACAGACATTTTGTGGAAAACAGGCTACCAATTTATAAAATCAAGGTAACTAACTTACCTTTCATATAATATTCTTCCACACTACAGTGGCAGCCTGATAACACACTTTTGACATCAGAAGTTTCTCACATGGGGAAGATTAAACAGAGGGAAGATATTAAGGAAATTGAAAGCTCTCCAGAAGCAGAATGCTGCCGACCACCTTCCACCACCACTTAATTCATAATTGTCCATCATTTGTTTATGTGCTAAGAATTACTAATTTAAACAAAGTAGCATTATCATCATAGTCAAACATAATCATATATGCCACTGTTAACTGAAAGATGGGGACGGACAAATTCTTACCCCAAATGTATTAAATTTACAAAATTAATATTCTCCTAACCATACAAGGGATAGAAAATCTATGGTGCTCCAGGACTTCCTTTACTGCTGACTATGCTGCTTGGGCTGCTAGGAATTGCAGTGTAGTCACATTAGAAGAGCCACAAAATTAATTCCTTACTGTAGAGTCACAATCTGAAAGGATCTAGCATTTAAAAGAAAAAGTGATGAAAAGGGCCACCAAAATTTAGAAGAAAACTGTGCCATTTTCTTGATAATCAATTCTATGGTAACTAACAGCATGGATTTGAAATTTTATTTGTGTGTATATTATGATTTTAACTTTAGTGTTTTAGCAGTTCATCTAAGTTTACAAATATAATCAGAATTCTTGCTTGTACTTCATTAATAATCAGTTATGTTTCTGCTGAAATTTTTTTCTACTAGTTCTTTTTTAACCTTTCCCCCTCACATATTTATGCTTTTAAGAGAGGTAGAATAGGTCATGTTT